AAAAAAATGTATTTCACACTGTGACTGGAGCCCAGGAAAGAAAATAATATAATGGGGTTCCAATTTGCAAAAAACTCGGATGCCAATACCAAACAGCTTGTATTGTTCGAAAAAATACATTTAAAATTATTCGGTGGTGCAATCAGTTCAATCCCCATTACCTAATGGGAAATTGTAGCAAAACAACGCCGGTTGTCATGGATACCGAGCAAATTTCCTCTGGGGACAGGTCTGTGTGCACCATACGTCGGTTCGGAATAGAATATCAACTGACTGCCTAAAAAGAATCTAATGTTCCCCAATTATGGGTTTGAATAAATTTTAAAATCTGATGATGGCGCTGTTGTCTCGCCGAAACGTAACGAAATAAACGATATAAAAAAAATGTATTTCACACTGTGACTGGAGCCCAGGAAAGAAAATAATATAATAACAATTAGATACACGCAGTCAGGAAAATAAATCAACATTATTTGCTAAATGTCGTCTGGCAAGGGAAATTTGCAGCAATCAACCAATTTGATTCGTCATTCACATAGACGATTGATGCTTCATTTTAAAAAAGTTTAGTCGGTCGAGGGATGAACTGAAGAAGCTTCTAATCTTGATTTTGTAATTGAATTCTTGTTTTCAGTCAGTGTTTCCTCCAAAAAATTTGGCGCTTTAGATGAAAATCTGCATGCGTCTGCAAAATCTGCATGCATGAGCACATTTAATATAATTTACCTTTGCTCTTGGTTAAACTGCTTCCGAACTAAAAACAATGAAAAAACGACTTTCTACTAAAATATTATAAAAAATTTCACTGAGATTTGAATAACTTCTAGCGAAATGCTTGGAAAAAATTGCGGCAATCAACCAAAATGTACAGGGAGTTTAAATAGTCAAATATTTTCTTAGTCAAAGTTTGAATATTTACGCGGACAACAAGGGGTAGCACAGACAGAAAACAAAAATACAGTCTTATAGCCTGATGTCTTCTGAGTGATTTGGATGTTTAAACGTTTGTTAATCTTGATCCATTCCAGAGATATTCATTTTTTCCTTCGTGACCGGGTACAATTTGCGCGCAAAACTTACTGAAACTTTTTTGGGAATTGTTTTATTTCGCGCGAAGCCCTTGAGTTTTCAGTCGACCAACAATGCACGTGTTTTCTATAAAAAATGATGAAAAATTGTGTCTTTTGCTCCATAACTCGTTTTCAAACAAAAACCCAAAGGAGCTTAATTATTTCTTCAAAAGCATTTAAACCGGGAAATCTGCTTTTCGCTTCAAATCAAATCGCTTAGCTTGTCATTTCTTGTGTTAATTTTTTAGGAAATATTTCGTATAAACCGCTGTTTTTGCCTGCGAAAAGTTTGCTTCAATCTTCCGTACAAATCAAAAAAAATTAATGTACGAATTCAACCAATCGCTTTATTTGCAGGAGGGAGCCAGAAACGAATGCATAGAATAAACAAGTATTGAAGAAAATGTTGAATACGTTCTTCAATAAATTCTTGCAATCAAGTTTGTACTTAAAAATAAAATTGAAAATTAAGAACGAAGACATCAATTTTTACTTTGTTGATTTTGGTCAACAGAAAATCCAGTTTTAATTGCTTCTAGCTTAGAAACCGTCCAACTTAAGTAAAGGGTTTTTTAGAAACTAAAAGTTTGATCTTTTCGGCGTTTTTCGTAGATGCTGTGCAAAAATTATTAGGTCTTGGACCATTTGTAAGTTCGACCAATCCAGACAAACTCGACTAAGAAGTCAATTTTAATTAAATAAGAACCTCGACATGTTTTTATCGGTTAATGTGAAAACATTACAGCAATCGTGCATACAATCTTGCCGGCTCCCATAACGCTAGGAGTTCATTTGTATGTAAACCAGCGACTTTTTTACGAGCAATGTGGCAAAGTTACACCGATAACTATATTTAACTAGCACGCAATCCAACCATTTTCCACTCCAATAGAGATACAAGAGGTAAATATTTGATAAACGTTTCAGAGTGTTGCACGTTCCATAATTGAGGGAAAGGATGATGAAGTTTATTCCTCTTTGCCAGAGAACCACTAAATATGACACCTTCTAGCAAAGCAATTCAATGACCATTTGGGAGTTAGTGAACTGAAGAGTTGGGTTTTTCAACTTCACGTGCAGAATGTTTCATAATGCCCGCATTAAATGGCCATCGGTGTTCGGCTTGCTCCAAATATGTACAGTTTTTAGGGCTTCGGAAGGTGCTTAGCCGGGTGATAAGAGCCAGTTTACACACTCTTCATTTTATTGCTCGGACAGTGTAATGGAGGTCATAATTTGCATCCTCCATCGCGTGCTTTGGAATGTCTGACAATGCTGCAGATATCTGGCTTAGGAATCTAAGTGAATTAGAGTGGGGCTTCGCCCGAAACTCTGATAGCATACGAAATAGATTAGCCACAACTTGTTCCCGAGATTCCTATTCAAATTGCGGATTTTATTATGTTTTGGCCTTAAAATGTCGATTGGCGCAAAAAACTGGGTTTTTCATCACATCACAAACATCGCGTTCAATCAATTCACAAACATCACATCAGTCAAAAGTGTTCTTGAATGTAGAAGCGGTAGCAAAAGCACGAGAGTCATCCAATTTTTGTTCAAGCCATTTTCATCGACTGTGCCGGAATCCTGCGGGTAAATAGCAGCAAAAAACAGGCAACTGAACCGAGCTCAAAATCGCATGCTTTGAATGATCAATCAAGATTTTTTCGGCAGCTCGGAAAACAGGAGCAGAAGCTGAATGTTCTGAAACGCCTGGAGGAGCTTGAAAGAGCGTCATTCACTCTGGTTGATTTGAGTACGTTTAAAGGCTTTCTATGGAAACTGTGTACAATTTTTTTTATTTCATTCTTCTCTGTAGTAGTTTGTGTGTAAATTTTAAGTCATTGAGGGTTTTAAAATTTTCTTCTCTTATTTCAGAAAGAACAATAAATTTACCTCCAGCAGTGATCACAAAAAAATTGAGCTTCAGCCGTAAAACGGCAGCGTTTTGAAGCTGAAATGGTGTTTGAAACACTTGGAGAAGCCTGGAAGATCGAAAAAGCGTCATTCACGCTGGTTGATTTGAGTACGTTTAAAGGCTTTCTATGGAAACTGTGTACAATTCTTTTGGTTCCATTCTTCTCTGTAGTAGTTTGTGTGTAAATTTTAACTCATTGAGGGTTTTAAAATTTTCTGTCATTTCAAAAAGAACAATAAATTAACCCTCAGCAGTGATTACGAAAGATGAAGCTTCAGGGGTAAAATAGCAACTTTTTGAGGCTGAAATGGTTTCTAAAACACCTGGGAACCGGTTGAGGATCTTGAAGGATCGAATGAGCCTGTTTGACTCTGGTTTATTTCGGCACTTTTACACGCTTTTGATGGAAAACTTTGTCAAGCGCTGTTGGTTTCACATTTCCTTTCTAATAGTCTGTATAAAATTGATTCAAACGTATTTGCTGACTGACTTTTCGCACTGATTTTCGCGATACACCAACCCGCAACTTAATAAAAAATCCGAAAAACGGCCCCCAGCAGTAATTGCGAAAATATGGCAACTTTTCCCAACCAACATTGGTTGCGTCGCATGCGAACGAATTTTCCCGGAAAACAACATGGCCTGTAGCTAAAACGCAAATTCGAGCATTAACCAGACAAAACAATACCAATATGGAACATGTGTTTCGGTTAATCTGAAATGTTCGCCAAGAGTGGTTCGGATGCATGGCAATTGTTAAACGCGGACATTAACATGACGAACAACGCCGATGGATTCCACATGCGACTCCAAAGTTCCGTAAAATTATTCAATTCCATCTGCATTATTTAATTAGCTGGCCGATTATTAGATGAGTGCTTCCTATGTGAATTGCTGAATAGTCTAAATTCCTTTTGAAGCGATTAAGTCGTACCTGTAAATAGGGTATCCAGACCCTTGTTTGAACCAGAGGACCATGTAGACTGTATCGTGGCCAGGTGGAACCACATCGCATGGCAAACTAACACTTTTGCCTTCAACTGCTTGGATCTCTTGAGCGGCCACAGCTGAAAATGAAGCAAAATCCACTGTTAACTGGCTGCTGAATTTCCAAAACTCTTACGCACTAAGTAGATTAGTAGCTGGGAAATTATTCCAAGTTCCAATCCCCTAACAAACGATTAGATCCTTAATGTAGAAAATGGCATTAACTCGGTTTAACTTGTTCAAGTTATGACAACAACTGCCGTAAGTCGAAGTGCTATGCACCAGAAACGGCGCTAAAACTAATGCGAAATTATGGGACTTCTGGCTAAGTAAAACTTAACACTGTGTGCCCAAAAGAGACGCGAAATGTATTTTATAATCTTGGCTGATATGGAGATTAAAGAACATTATTGCAGTTCAAGATTATGCATATTGCCTTATTACTACTGCAGCTAAATTTTAATTAAACATTTTAACGGTGCGAAGTTAAGCTTTGAGGAACAGCGTTGCCCCGATTAGCAATTAGCGCTCAAATTTCGTTACTGCTCCTTAACTGAGTAGATAGAGCTGCAATCTTGCAGCCTTGCAAGCTCTAAATGGCACCGATAAAGTTTCACATTTCTGACACCCACAGCTTTGTTGAATCAGTGAGATTAAAAGTTTCCTATTTACTGTACATCTAGTGAGTCCTCAAAATTGATCGCCTCCTTTTTGCTGCCTCTTGACTATGTTAATCTGGAAAAGTTCCGGAGACAAATTGCGTCTCCAATACATTTTGGCGGGTCATCGAAGCGCTGCCAAATTGACTGGATATTCACGAATGTTTCCTCGTAAAATTGCTGGGCTAATAAATTCCTAGTCTTAAAAATGTCGCTCTTTCGGGAAAGTTGTGTTGCGAACGTACATCGAAAATTCATCTAAACACCGAGGAAAAGTGACAAAGTGTTCTACCTCGGTTTCACGATGTAACGAATTTTGCTTCGCCAGCTTTTCCGGTTTTGTTTCATTGAATTGTTGAACACTTTAGAAATTTCATAAGTTTCAAATCTAAAACCTATTTGAGACCTTCTAAAAAGCAATTTAGTTCTCTCTGGATTGACGCAAAAAATGAGCTCTCTTGCCCATTTTGCTTCAGAGAAATGAGCAAAAATGGGACCGAAAACTTGAAATTTGTGCATAAACTGGCACCTCATCATCAAAATTCAAATTTTTGTGATGACTGAATTGAATTTTGAATTCTCTATTCCTTCTTTCCAGAGTAGCAGGCGGGCAAACAGAGTCAAAAGCGTTTGATGAATCAAGCTAAAAACTTTCCCTAGTCTCATTAACCCAAGAAAGTTAATATGCATATTTTAGCCGGCTAAACTTTATACTTCATAGTTTGCCTCTAACTTGCCGTTTAAGCAGGTCTTCGGCATTCATTCTGCTAACTACTGCACATGCCTGCGATCAACTAATTAAATAGTTTAACTGTTAAAAGTATTCGCTGTTTTTGGTGCAAATCTGAAAAGTTTTAAATCGAAAGTCTGCAGAAAATCGCAAATTACTAGTTTGAATTGAGAAAATTCTTCAGTAGACTTTAGGAGAGCAAACAAGAAAATATCGGTACTAACTAGAGCTTCCAATGCATAACATTCAATTTTGTCTTCGACTTTTATGTACGTCTATTTATATTGCCTTTTGATTCGATTTTCCTAACAATTGCAAAAGAGCGTTCGATCTTTGTTCCATGTTCCAATGAATATTGATGGAAAATTTGGGAGTTAAACTGATATAAGCAACGTATTCATTCAGTGTGAAGTCGAACTTGCTGTATTCATTTCGAAACGGTGCACTGTTAAACTATATTGGAAACATTCGAGTAGTTTCCGAAGTTTGAGATCGACGCCAACGTAGCAGAGTATTGGGTATTGGGTAAGCTATATGGCCTTTATATCCTTTAGATATAATACCATCTAATATGCTGCATGGAGAATTGATCATGTACTTTCTCCTCTCTTATCCGGCAGGAAATTGCATTTTTCGCAATACGGAGCAGAAATAGGAAAAATGGAATTTCGAGCAAAATAACTGCACCCAATGGTTTTTTGCAAGGAGATCTAAATCATATTTTGTCTATGGGAGAACGTTTGCGGCCACTCTATTGAATTGCCGGGATTTCGTCTAAGCCCATTTATTCATTTTTTATAAAGTCATTTTTCTTTACATTACATCGCTCTGAATGGTTCTTTCGCCTCAGCAAGGTCAAGCTAAGTTTGTTAATTTTCCCACTTCCTTACAATAAATGTTATACATTTTTTGAGTGATTTAAGTGCCTGTGAAAGCAGTGGAGGGAGCAAATAACATGGGGGTTTACAAAACCGCTAGTAAACGTATAAAATACCACGAAAAATATACATTTTCTTTAAATCACTTCAATTCTAAATCACTTTCATCTCGAGGAAGCGAATACTGCATCGAACAGAACTGCAGTTCCGAAATAATCGATATTTTCGGAACATTTTAGGCGTTTTTTGAGCGTTTACGATGTTTAACTGCTGATGTCATTATTATTCACCCAAAAACTTTATAAATGCACTTTGCGATCTTCTTACGTCGAAAGGAATCGATTAAGCTCAAAAAACACGCATGAAAAATTTTGATTTTTGGCCGAAATTTTTCCAAGGGTGAGGGTCGATTTTTTGAAAAAATTAAAATTTTCTCAAAATGTCTTAAATTTTACATCATTTTCAGCGCACAGACGCGAGTAATGCATCGAACTCATTGAAAAACATGCTAGAAGTTTCAGATCCGGAATAATCGACACTTTTGGTACATTTAAAGCGTTTTTTGAGCGTTCACGATCTTTAGCTGACGATTTCTTCCTTATTATTGACCCAAACAGTTTATAAATGCATATTTGTGACCTTCTTACGTCGAAAGGAATCGATTAAGCTCAAAAAACACGCATGAAAAATTTTGATTTTTGGCCGAAATTTTTCAAAGGGTGGAGGTCGATTTTTCGAAAAAATGAAAAATGTTCTCAAAATGTCTTAAATTTTACATCATTTTCAGCGCACGGACGCGAAAAATGCGTCGAACTCTTTGAAAAACATGCTAGAACTTTCAGATTCAAAATAATCGACAGTTTCGGCACATTTTAAGCGGTTTTTGAGCGTTCACGATCTTTAGCCGACGATTTCTTCCTTATTATTGACCCAAACAGTTTATAAATGCATATTTGTGACCTTCTTACATCGAAAGGAATCGACTGAGCTCAAAAAACACGCATGTGAAATTTTGATTTTTGGCCGAAATTTTTCCAAGGGTGGGGGTCGATTTTTTGAAAAAATTAAAGATTTCTCAAAATGTCCTAAATTTAACAGCATTTTCAGTGCACTGACGCGAGGAATGCATCGAACTCATTGAAAAACATGCTAGACGTTTCAGATCCGAAATAATCGCCACTTTCGGCACATTTTAAGCCTTTTTTGAGGCAGTTGTCGTTATTAACTGAAAGGAAACCAGATCAAGCAAAGCTTTTGCAAGCGCCACTAATGTAAAATTGTAGATTTTTAGACCAATGGAACAACGCAAGCACTAATCAATCACAAAGTATAGATGAGGATCATGCTTATGCATTTTGCTCCATTCCAGATGGGTTTCACTGAAGCATTCCGCATAATTTGGGCAAATTGCCGTTTGACCAAGCGGTGTATGAATGTTGCGCCACCGAATCACCGCTATGCATTCAAACGATTAAACTTTTCGAAAACGGTTCCAACCATTCAGCAGCTGCACCAGCAACGTTAAATAATGCAATTTCCGGGTTAATGGCAACAATAATTGATAGATTAGAGAGCGATTGGTAAAGCAGCGGCGTTTAATATTTGGACGAGGTATAAATCGTGGCATCCGTTGAATTGAAATCAGCTAAAATTCCCCGGTTGCCAATTTACAAGTATAACGGGAAACAATTTGCCAGCCCCCTACAAACAATATTAACGCATTGCTGTGTGTAGCGCAAATGAGAACGAATGTATTTCATTGTCAGCTTAAATGGGGTTTGTGCCATTCTGGTTCGATTTGATCAACACACATTATTTATTTATGTCGGGTTTCCCTGGTTCAGCACGTGCAATTTTCGCTTTTTGCCTGCAAAAGACCACTTTTTGTCATCTGAACAGGAAATTTATTCTCAGTTCATAGCTGGAAATTCCGACTGAAACTCACACCTTAACATGCACTAAAACAGCGCCAAAGTGTCTGATTGCTTGGAGCCAATTCGCTCAGACTCCATCCCTCTAACATATTTCCGCTTCATGTTTTAGACGCGAGAATTCTATATCTGTTAGGCTTCTAATTATAACGAAACGAATAAAGCTAATTGGAATTTCGCATTCCTTCCATCTCAGCCTTATTGCCATAATGTCTAGACGAGAACGAGGCTCTTTTGTAGTAATTTTCGAAATTAATTTCCCCGGCCTGATGGCGCTAATTTAATAGATCAAGCTGCCCAGGATTCTTTGAGGGAAGTTTTCCCTCTTATCGGAGGCTTTGAGCAAGTACCGTTTTAGTGCTCAATTGATCGCTTTGAATACATCAGGCGCCAAATCCTCATAAAACTCCTGTTTGCAAGAACATTCACTTTCCGATCGGGATCATCAGATCTGAATCAATAGTCGAGTAATTTCCCCAGGGTAATGAGAAAAATGAGCATGGAGAATTTTCCGTTCTGAAATGAAAATGCGGGATATTTGGCCTTATGTCAAGCGCTATTTGTGAGGGTTTTGCACTTTGAAGAGCTTTCAATTTCAGTTCATCATTCACGAACGTAAGGGTTTTGCGCAAAGTCTAAAGTGCCCGCGGCTGACTAAAAATTTGCCAAGAATTTCAGGAAAACGCCAGTGAGCTGCAGTATACGGCCCCAGTGGAGCAAGGTATTCCCTATTCAGTGGCGATTGAGGTATTTTCATAGCTCAATTGGTTTGTTCGCCAAAAATATTTAAAGTCGCTTTGCAAAATAGTTTCGCGCGAAGTCAAAAGTGCGCTCGCCCGATTTAAAGTTCCTGAAAAATCCCAGAAAAGCACCACTGAAGTGAAGATCATCGCTCTAATAGGGACAAGTGCGCTCTATCTAGGGACGTACCAAGTATTTTTCTGGCTCTATTAGTTTGCTCGCAACAAAATATTCAAAGTTACTTGGCAAAGAGTTACAAGCGCGATGTAAAAAGTTCGCTCCTATGATTAAAAATTCGCAAAAAAACATTAAAGGCGCCCCTGAAGTGATGTTGCTGGCCGTAATAGGGTCATGTGCACTCTATCCAGAGACGAAGCAAGTATTTGTCTAGCTTGATTAGTTTGCCTGCCAAAAAGTCGTGAATATGCTTTGCAAAAGAGTTTAGCGCGCAGTCAAAGTGCGCTCGCCTGATTCAAAATTCCTCAAAAATCCCAGGAAATTGCCACGGAACTGAAGATCATCGCTCTAATAGAGACAAGTGCGCTCTATCTAGGCACGTACCAAGTATTTTTCTGGCTCTATTAGTTTGCTCGCGACAAAATATTCAAAGTCACTTGGCAAAGAGTTTCGCGCGATGTGAAAAGTTCGCTCCCGTTATTAAAAATTCGCAAAAAAACCATTAAAGGCACTACCGAAGGGATGTTTCTGGCCTTAATAGGGCCATGTGCACTCTATCCAGAGGCGAAGCAAGTGTTTTTCTAGCTTGATTAGTTTGCCTGCCAAAAAGTCGTGAATATGCTTTGCAAAAGAGTTTAGCGCGCAGTCAAAGTGCGCTCGCCTGATTGAAAATTCCTCAAAAATCCCAGGAAATTGCCACGGAACTGAAGATCATCGCTCTAATAGGGGCAAGTGCGCTCTATCTAGGAACAAACCAAGTATTTTTCTAGCTCCATTAGTTTCTTCTCGATAAAATATTCAAAGTCACTTTGCAAAAAGTTTCGCGCGATGTGAACAGTTCGCTCCCATGATTAAAAATTTGCGACAAAAACATTAAAGGCACCACCGAAGGGATCTTTCTGGCGGTAATAGGGTCATGTGCACTCTATGCAGAGACGAAGCAAGTGCTTTTCTAGCTTAACTAGTTTGCCCGCAAAAAAATCTCGAATGTCACATTGCAAAATAGTTGGAAGCGAAGTCAAAGGTGCACTCGCCTGATTGAAAATTCGTAGAAAATTCCAGAAAAGCGCCACGGCACTGCACTTCGTCCCACTAATAGGGATGAGCGTCCTTTATCCAGCGGCGTATCAACAATTTTTCTAGCTCTATTGGTTTTCTCGGAAAAAAATCGTCAAAAGTCATAACTGCGCTCGCCTGCTTAAAAATTCGGCAAAAATCGCCCCCAAACTACAGTTTGCTGCTCGAATAGTGTCGAGTGCGCTCTATCCAGGGGCGGATCAAGTATTTTTCCAGCTTACTTGGTCTG